ATTAATGGCTTCTCTTATAAGAATACAGTTTCTGTGCTAAGGAACTGGTCCCTTCATTTCGCCTCACCTCCTACCGCTGGCAGGGCACAGCTGGAGCATTATAGAATGTTCTAGGCATCACATTTTAGGGCAAACTCCATTAAAATGAAACCAGTTCAAAGAGAATGAGACTTGGAGCCATGTCCTATGAGAGCTAATTGGAAAAATTGGAAGGCTTGGTCTGGAGAACAGATGACATGGAGAAACAGAGATAATAATACCTCTCTTCAACAATCTGAAGGGCTGGGTGCATAAGAGACACTGACCTTGTTATTTTCTTCAGCTTCAGAGCACTGATCTTCAAACACAGTTGTGCAGGAGGAGCTTATGAAAACAGGGATCTAAGCTCTGTAGCTGCTAGTGGCCATTCAAATGGCCCAGCGTGGAGAAGAGTCAGGGAACTCCATTTCCACAAGAACCACAGGTGACTCTGATACAGGTGGTCCACAGAGCACAATTTGTGAAATGCTACTTTGTAGGGTGAACAAGAATCAGTGGGCCAATATCAGAAAGATATGGATTGCATCTTAACATACAGAAAGACCTTCCTAATGATTAGAGATTCTCTGAAACGGAAAGACTTGTCTCACAGGGTTGTACGGTCCCATCACTGGTGGGTTCCAACCAGATCCTGGATGATTATGGTCAAGACGTCATAGAAATAAGCATCCAGCAAGCAGATGGTTGTGCTGCATGAAAGCAGAGAGACTCAGCTGCTGATGACAGCGTTTATTCCTGGATTTGTTAAATAAAGATGCCAGTTCTGATCATTATCCTTTATACAGAACTTACTTAGTGGTGGGTGGTGGGACAATAAGAAAACAGAGGCCATAAAGACCCCTGTTAATTTTGAAACAGGGATAGTAACCTGTCAATTAAGTGTTTTCCCTTAATTAAATAAACCATAATTACAGGACACATCTTAGAACATTTTGTTTTAATTTTTTAATTGTATGTTATCTTTGCCACAAGATAAATTCTCAAGATTTGAGAATTACTTAGCATTGTATTGACTAAAGATGAGATCAAACCCTGAGTAACACAAATATCTGCAATAAAGAACTGAGGATGTGGGTAGCACAGGGTCCCCCAGACACTTGTTCCATGGGGACAGGGAAGTGCAGAGATGAAGAGGGAAGGTAATAAGGTAAAAAGTATCTCTGATATTTGTGTTTCATGGATTCTTCTTTCCAAATTTCAGTTGCCAGCCTTAGGTACTACAAGCCAAAAGTTCAAAGTCGAAATTAATGGTTCTAAAGAAAACGAAAAAGAAACAGGAAGAGAAATGACATCGTTTCACATCCTGAACAAGCCAATTTTGATATTGATAGGGAGAGGGGGCTGATTCACAATAGGTCAGATGTGATGGGAAGCTAATAATGAGACATTAGTTCCATTTGTGGTTTGACTGTGTGAACTGCCAAGCGGCAGGGTGTGAGAGCAAGCTGACGGCCCAGATGCACACCCTTTCCTTTTATGACATAAAGTGTCCTTCATTTGTGAGGCAAAGGTATAACCTTTTTAAAAACAGAAATAAAAGTCTAAGGGAAGAAGAGTGCCCTTGTATCTCTTCATATGAGAATGAGGAGAGCCGTGCTGGTCATTGGAAGGCCTTTCTGAGGCAGTAGCTTTTGTGTTGAGCTCTAAATGACCCAAAGAATCCTGCTCTTTGAAGACCACAAGTATCACTTACAAGGCAGAGGGACCAGTCAGTGCAAAAAACAAGTGCTTCCTCAAACCTACAAAAAATTCCTTTGCTGAGGGAGCAGCAGCTGGTTTCCAGGGTTGGTGATATTGGGAAAACTCCAGATTCCAATAATATGGCTTTATGTAAAGCCACAGCACGGTGGCCTCCAAGGATGAAAAGAAACACTATGCTAGTTCCTGACTGACACAGAGACCACGTGACCTGCACACCAGGTGGCTGGGATCCATGGACATTCTTGCTTTCCTAACAGCTGTCTGGAGAGCCAGCCAATATAATTTGGATGTGAGGTGGAGTTAAAACTGCATGGGTCAACTTTGACCAGTGAAAGGGAGGAGACGGGAAGGGACCAGCAGGTGAACTATTTGCTCATCCTCCTCTCTGAGATCCTGTTTCTACATGTTTTCCTACAGCCTCTTTGAGAGGTCCTGTGAGACCTTGCAACCAGTAGACCGTGGCCAGCCCAGCAGCACACCCTCTTGAATTTGCTCTCCCTCCGTTCCTGCCTCACTAAATTCCTTTTCCAACCCCTCCTCTTTCCAAGGGTCTCACTCCCTAATAGAGGTAACATCTAAGCTTTTGCCTCAGGCAGTCTTCTCGAGAATGTGGTTCAAGATGCAGATATTAATTCACCTAGCCCTCACAGAAATCTCACGAGGCAGGTACTATTAAAATCCCATATTATAGATTTAAAAAAAAACAACTGAGCGCAGAAGTTATGTAACTTGCCCAGAGCCATGAAGGCGGTGAGTGGCCCAGCCAAGCTGTGAACCCAGGGGATCTGGTTCCACAATCTCTGTGTGCTACTGTCATGTAGATTGCAGCCGCACTCAAGGGCAGGGGCTGGGTTCAAGATCAGTTTGCAGTTGCTCACACGTAGAGAATGAGCCTATGACTCTCCAGAGGTGCCACTCCTCTCTCCCCACCGCCCAGGAGAGGTCGCGAAGCACACTGTCAGGGCCCCATGGCCCATATCACTGGGCTCATTTTATTGGAAGAGACTAGGCTTAAACAATAAACCCGTCTTCGTCAGCAATCTCACTAACCACTTATCAAACATCTATTCTGTGGGAGTACTGTTCTAGGTACTAAGCATTCCAAGAAATTAGAGATAACCTCGATTTTCACTCTAGAGACTAGGGAAAACAGAGCCCAAACAGAAAAGCTGGGTCAGAACCAGAATAAGGGGGGCGAGGTACTTGCTTTGGGCACAAAATTTAAGAAGGCCCTCAAAACTCAGTAATCTAGAGAAATCATATTTTAATGTAATCATTTTTAAAATCTCAATTTATGCCAAAAAGTCACAAAGAATAAAATATCAAAATTTGTAAGGTCCTACAAAGCTGTATTGGAGCCTGAGGCAAAAGGCATAATTAGGAATACTGATCCTTAGCCCCAGTCCAGCCATATAGAGAAGAACCAATCATTCAAGGTGCGTATGTTCATGTCTTTGGCCCTCAGGGTCATACTCAACCCCAGAGTAGAATCAATGTCTTTTTCTTTTTAAATTGAGGTATAGTCAGTTTACAATGTTGTGTCAATTTCTGGTGTAGAGCATAAAGTTTCAGTCATACATATACATACACATATTTGTTTTTGTATTCTTTTTCATTATAGGTTACTACAGGATATTAAATACAGTTCCCTGTGCTGTACTGAAGAAACATGTTGTTTATTTTATATATAGTATTTAGTATCTGCAAGTCTCGAACTCCCATTTTATCCCTTCCCACTCTCTTTCCCCCGGTAACCATAAGTTTGTTTTCTATGTCTGTGAGTCTGTTTCTGTTTTGTAAATAAGCTCATTTGTGTCTTTTTTTTTTTAAGATTCCATATATAAGTGGTATCATATGATTTTTTTCTTTCTCTTTCTGGCCTACTTCACTTAGAATGACGATCTCCAGGTCCACTCATGTTGCAGCAAATGGCATTATTTTATTCTTTTTTAGAGCTGAGTAGTATTCCATTATATAAATATACCACATTTCTTTATCCAGTCATCTGTCGATGGACATTTAGGTTGTTTCCATGTCTTGGCTGTTATAAATAGTGCTACTATGAACATTGGGATGGTTGTATCTTTTTGAATTAAAGTTCCCTCCAGATATGACTCTGTTTTTAATAACTTCAGTGTACAGACTAATACAGACACCTGAATGTTTTATACAAGGACTAACATGAACCATTACAATCTGTGCTCAGCATTACGCTCTTCTGCAGCCAAATTATGGGCATAAAATAACAAGATTTAGAATTAAAATTATTTTAAATTATACCTATCTTTGAAAATGAAAAAAAAAAACACTGGTTTCTTATTGAAGCTTTTTAAATCTATGAGTCAAATAAGAAATATGATTGCAGGTGATGGAAACTGTCAATATTCAGTTACTATTCAGTATTGTGCCATAAATGAAGAAACTGAAAATAGATTATAAGCCCTAGTTTATTATCTTCATATTTTTATTCTATTCTAATGAATGATAATAGTTAATATGCAATCATTTAAACTTTTAAATTACAAAACTAGTTTAAATTGACAAAACTATAAATTCCTAATTTGAAATTACCAAATTGTATATCTTTATATATGCTAACTTTGAGATAATCAGGTGAGAAAATGTTCTTCTGCGTCTATGAATTGTCTTCTGGGCTGGGAAAAAAGATTCTTTGAAGGATGAAATTTTGCCTGAATTGTTGTACTGTACTCAAATAGATCAAAAACTTTCTGTTTAGGCATGGCTTCCATAAAAAGGGGCAGATCTAGGAAAAGGCTTATTTGCAAGCTGCTCCACCAATGAGCTGGAGTGGAGCAAACATGGAGAAAGAAAGGGAAATTCCCAGCTCTGGAGCAAAGCAAAAGGGAATACCCACAAAAATCAGAGATCACTTGGCATGGATTTAACTTCCTCTTCCTAAACTTGCTGAAACACTTCTTCAAATCAAAACAAAATATAGCAACAACAACAAAAAACCCTTCTTTCTCTTACAGCTGAACAACAGTGATAATTGTGAGACTGCTGAACCGTACTTTCCCCGCGGGTCAGGCTGTAACTTGATTTAACTGTTCTTGCACAGGGACCAACAGAGAGAAGGCAACTCTCCCCTCTATCCCCGGCCTCAGTCTGTTGTTTGCCAATTTTTATAAATATACCACATTGTTTGTACTTTCTTATTGCTCCTGTAGCCTACAGTCATTCTGGAAGTCCTTTAGCTTTTCTTAACTCCTTTATTTATGTGCCATGTAACTGATACAAGCCTTGAATGCACCAAAAAGATAAATTCTTCTCCAGTATTAAATAACGGTTGGGGGGAAAGTACTTCTTAATGATCATTTAAAATTGGTTAAGCGGTAAAAGTTCTATTGTGCATCTTATAAAGTTTTGCTAGTCAAAAGCCCATAGCATAAAATAAAATAAAATAAAATAAAAAAAGTTCTAAAGTGCATCTTATAAAGGTTTGCTAGTCAAAAGCCCATAGCATAAAATAAAATAAAATAAAATAAAATAAAATAAAATAAAATAAATAAAACAAATGATCTCTAGTCCCTTTAATCAGGAATTCAGTCAATGTAACTATTTCTTTGGGTAATCACCACTGTGTGATTACACACGCACACACACACATACATGCTTTTCAGGGTTCAAGAAAACCTCCAAAATGCAATTCAGTGTAACATTCTACTATTTAGTCTAACATTCTTAGTCCAAGGAGAACAGACTGGAAATTTCACAAGCATTGATTTAGTTGTAAACTTTCAGATTTTTTCCCCAGCACAGTCATGAATATAGTCCTCGAAAACCTTGGAAGACAAAATTTTAATGCTTTTGTTCTAGTACCTTTAGTCCTGAAACAGAATGTTATAAAAAACAACATTATAAATCTTAATACTCCCATGAGGGTATGTTTAAAAGTCTAGTCTAGATATATAATAATATCTCTAGTTCTTTATGCCTCTGATTTGGACACAGAGGTTCTTCTGGAATTTATATTTGAGCCAAGCTTCCACTTACAGGGCAAAGGTAGTGGTGTAGGTTCAATTCATGTGTTCAAGCTCCAGGAACGGTCTGCTCTGTTCAAAGTCTCAGATACAGTTTAACAAAACCTCAAAAAACAGTAATACCTATATAGCAAGTAAGAAATTCTCTAGATATTTCAAGCCAAAAAAAAGTGATATTATTTTTTAGGTGTTGCATACCTGGCAGAAATTGAACAATTCAATTTTGAATACTGTCATTAGCCTTCCCCCCACACCCCGCCCCCAAGGGAAGTTTTTTTTCAGGCTCTGAAAACGAAAGCAACAAGATGTCAATTAATCTCATTTTAGAATTTGTATATTTCATATCTCTAGATGTGAGCTTGGACATAGAATAGACTGAGTGAATAAAGAAGGAAAAGGAAAAAAATATTTATGATAATTTCCCCCCTCACAAAAAGATGACTGGGTAAATCACTGGAACACTGACTTCTCATCTATGAATAGGAACACTGGCCTAAGAAATGCTATAAACTCTGAAACTTTAAGTATGTGTGGTCGATGATTATTTATTTTCATTCTCAGTTGTTTGAAGGGTAAGGATTAGCTACTCTAAACTGGAAGACCATTCACGTACAAATAAAATCAATTAAACCCAGGGGTTCATAGGATTTATACAAAATATTGAGTAAATAGCTAACCTTAAAATTATGTTGATATATATTAACTTTGACTTTATATATATTAACTTTGACTTTACGTGTGTATATATATATATTTACTGCATAGTTGTATCTCTATGGGAAAATAAGGAGTGATGTCTGTGCTCAACTCACTATTTAGACACGTCTATGATTCTAGATTGTTTGCCTATCACAAATCATTTAGGGGGAGGGTATAGCTCAGTGGTAGAGTGTGTGCTTAGTATGCACAAGGTCCTGGGTTCAATCCTCAGTACTCCCATTAAAAATAAATAAATAAAAATAAACCTAATTACCTCCCCTACCCTCACAAACATAAGTAAATAAGTAAAAATATTTTTAAAAAAAGAAAAAAATCATTTACATGAAAGTGTGAAGTGCCTCTCGGGAGAAAACCCTTCCTTGGGGAAAAAAAAAGAGAAAGAGAGAGACAGATTCAGACAAGCACAATTATTATGATCCAGTTTAAAAAAAAAAAAAAAGCTTAGTGATCAGAGAAGGGGTCCTAAGCACAGAACAGTTATTGTTCTTCAATTTTCTCCCCTGATTCAGACCCCAGGTGCTGTATTCTTCTAGAAGATATTATCCTAAAAACTTTGTGACATCAGGACACAGGAGGGGGAGCCATGGGGAAAGGTGGAACAGCCAAGGTGGACAGAGCCCCCCCATTCTTGCTCGGGACACAGCTTGGCCTTGGTACTTTGAAAATTCCAGAGAATGCAGTGTCTTTCAGGCTCCATGGGGAACCCAGCACAGCGACTGCCCCTGGTGGAGATGACTTCCCATGGGTACCACAAGATGTACCCACGGATTCTACGGGAGACATCAAGGGGTGAGGAGAAAAGCTTCAAAAGAAAGAAAATGACAGACCCACGGTCACTGGTAGGATTTGTTTTATTATGAGCACGGATGAGACTATCTGAGTGAGAGTCATGAAATAATGGACAGAAGAATCAAAGGTACACAAATATACTGCATTAAAATCATATAAAATTTATAGTAAATATAATGATGGGCTATTTTGCACATTTTGAAATGAATCTAGATAATAATTTATCAACTTGCATATTTATATTTATGAATTTCAACCTCATGGGTATAGACTTTACCCTCTAAGATATTAACGTGTGGGACTATTTCGTCATGTGCCATAACTGGAAAATGTATTATTCTGTCTAATCCAGTAGACATGTGGGGAATATACTTTTAATATAGCCCTGTCTTAGAGAAGAAGAACTAATTGCAGAAGAAGACCAATAACTTACCTGGCATCACACAGTTAGTATAGAAAGGGGCAAACTAACTCAGAATCCTTATTCACTGCCCTCTCGTCATAGCCCTGCATGACCTGCTCGTTTCCCTGCTGCTACTTGGTGATGCCAGAGTCAACAGATGAAAGCTCTGGGCTGACAACTGGGACACCCCAAATGGAGTCCTCTGGCTTTTGTTCAGCTTCTCTTTGACCTTGGGCAAGTCACTTAACTTTCTTTTTTATTTCTCCATCTGCAGAATGGGTTAGGTAGTAATAACAGCTGCCTACCCAAGCTTACATGAATGTTACTAGGAAGAATGAGATAATGTCTGCACTGAACTTTGCTCTCTTTAGAAGAAAGTCCCTGTAAAAAGCAAGGCAGAAATTCATCATGAGGGCTGATGAGATCAAAGCCTGCGGGCATGAGCTGAGGAAGGTTCCCCTCTACCCCACTCCGCTCTAATAACATTCCTCCCTTAAGATTCTAAAATGATTTGCAGATAGTCATTAAGTAAATCTTGCTGCCCTTAAGCAAAGGTGCAATTTGCACTATAAGACCCTGAAGCTTTATGAAAACAAAACCTTAGGAGGAGCAAAGGCAGTGCTTAAAAAAATAATCCAGGAATTAGGATCCTTACATCTATTTTCTAATCCCCTACCCTCTGTATCCACAAAATATAATTCTTATTTAACTCTAGTTTTCCATCTGTAGCAGCTAGGTAGTGTAGTTATAAACAAACCTTGTGGTTGGAGACCTATGTAAAACTAAAGGGAAATAGGGAAGAGGGTATAGATCAAATGGTAAAGTGCATGCTTAGCATGCATGAGGTCCTGGGTTCAATCCCCAGTACCTTCTCCAAACATACATAAATAAATAAACCTAATTACCTCCCCCTCATAAAACAAAAATAAATAAATAAATAAAGGGAAATAAATACTCCTAAATTTCAGTAATTTTTAAAAGCTTTGGGCAACTTGAAAACTTTATGTGAATCTCCAGTTTTCCTATTTGCCTGAACTCAAAATACTGTCTTCACTCCTATTCGTCGTGTAGGCCCTTTCCTTCAGGAATTGGACAAAGCCATCAAACCACAAAAGAACCCACCAGTCAGCTTTAAGGAATCCATCTTCCCAAAGTGCCAGAATCCATTAACCAGGTCCTGAGATGTTTGCATAATATTGCCTAACCTCATTTTCTGATGTTGCAACATGACTGCATTTCATTTTAATTTATTAAACTATACTGGCAAAGACTCAGAGTAAAATGTTGCGCTATCTTATTTTTGAATCTGCATGTTAATCATGTCTAATTGGCCTTCATTTCCATCTGCACAGATCTCTAGTCCTCATTTCTGGAATTAGTAGATCAAATTGCCAAATCCAACCCAGTCATGACCTCGTGACATTCTTTTGACTTTGCCTCAATATGCTATCAAAGCCTTAAAATGTAAGTTACCAGTGTGAGCAAGGACCCGGCATTGAAAAGACGTTTCAGCTTTTATAATATTTCTCATTTGAATTAGATCTGTTGAAGGACAAGGGTTAAAAGCTCAGGGAACTCCTTATTCTCAGAATAAGACTGACACAAGCTTTAAATGTTTTCTTTTCTTTCTAGACGTGTTCTATAGTTTATTGAGATGAGCACCGGGGCCAGTGTTGGTGGGCAATACGCATTTATAAAGGACTGAATAGAAACCACTAACTCCTTTCTCTTAATCTTTCCAAGAAATTTCCCTCAAGAGAGAGGGGCTCTTTCAATCTAATTCTAAAAAGAGAGGACTGACTTTATATATCTGTGCTGAATTGATTGTAACAGGACCTCCCCATCCAAAGAACATGTCTTCTATTTCTGCTCATATTTAGTCTCAAAGAGTAGCCCTTATACTGGGACAAATAATTCTGAAGGTGTCACAAAGGTGCCCTTTTGCAAAATAATGTTCTCCACCCTGTAACAATGGGTTTCCTTAGGCTGAATATTTTTCCTTCTGATGAAATGCAAACAGCTCTAGAAGCAATAATATATTGAGTCTTATCAGTCATGTATACCTTTGTGTGAATGAACTGAGCAGATTCTATGAGTGTGGGGAACAGACCGGAAAGGGAAATTTAAAGGAAGTCTCAGGAGATGAGACAAACCTTGCTCAGTTCTACCTGGCCTGGTATTTTCCCAATAATAATGCAGTTTCCATTCTGTTCTCCTGTAGTAATTGTTTTCTTCTGTGGCTGAAATAGCACATAAAATCTTTTCTTTAAAAGGCTACCCAGGAATTCTGTGTTAGGAGAGTAAGAAGGTGAGGAGGTGGAGGACACAGACCCTGAGGTTAAGCCTTCCCTCTGTGCCTCGGAGCAGGCAAGCTGGCTGAGTTGGCCACGAGGACCTGCAGCAACACGCCAGCGTCCAGGGCTCCAGATCAAGGGAGGAAGAGGAGGAGTGCAGAATTTCAATTTAATTATGCCAAGGTGTCTGAATAAAAAAATCAAATCAACTCTCAATAATCCTGGAAGATTGTTTATTGCAGTCTCAAGTGAACTGGGCCTACTAAGATTTAAAGAAGAGACAGTATTTCTGGTTCTTCAGCTGCAAAAAATTTACGATTGTGAAGGACAGTTAATGTTTCTGTAAAATAAAGAATAAAAACCCAAGACCCTTGACTGGTGGAAAAATGAACTCTGCTTAAAGGTT